ACAAAACGGCAAATGCTTACTCAGGGGTGATGATGTTTCACCAACACAGACTGAGACAGAGTGCCTCCTGTTCATTGGACAGCTTTTAGAGGTTAGCTGAGTCCCCGGTGAGCTCCTTATGGTGAGATATCACACCAATATACCCTTTAACAGCTAGGAAAGCAGTGTTGCTGTTCTTTTTTATAAACTCTCAATAAAAAAACATATCTTTAAGAACAGAGGGAAGGTTCCCAGCTACAGTTATAGTCATAGTTCACAGGCATAGGAACGTTTGAGATGATCTGACGCATGTGGGTTTGTCATGAAACCTTGTACGGCTAAAAGAAGACGCAAACAAGCAAGTGTAAACTACATTCATTGTATTTCCTTATTTCCCTGCTATAGACAGCCAGTCTGTGTGGGTTGGTCTCTGTACTCAAGCCGGGGCAGGGAAACAGTAGGAGCAGGGAAATGTCAGGAAGCGAGTCCTAACTCGCCCTCTGGGTCGGCTGAGGTCTGTACGGAGAAGACTGACGGGAGGATCGGGGGCGGTGATGATCACACAATGATATGAATGAACAAGTCCAATCATTCATTCAACCTGTTCAGATGTGTGCATCCTCTTTCTGTAATCACGTGGTACAGTATGTTCAGTAGGCAACACAGTACCTTCACGAAGGCTGTGTGAGTGAGACTGTATGACTCACATACTTTCTTAATAGTACTGGGCCAATAGCTGATAGGCGCAATCGCAGCCACAGGTAAACAAAAGCACTTGGGAGAGGCAAATGCCTTGCGCTTTCTTTCTTACTATATTCATAGTACAGAGTAACTCTATTTGTTTGTTTCACAATGCCATAGTTATGGTCAATTGGTCTGAGGCTGGGCGTAAAGACCTGGCATGACACCAGCTCCTACCAACGTGCCACAGCTCCACAAAATAGAGCCTGTGCGGTTGCTAAGAGAACTGGCAAAATGCAAACACAGCAACATCTGCTGCAATGATCTAACAGGGAGGCGGACTGGCCGGGCAGCGGAGCCCCCTCTCAGCCTGGCACCAAGCCTCCACTGGAAACCCCTCCACCAGGGAGATGAGTTGGAAGGGGAAGGAGAGAAAGAGCGAATGATAGGAGAGCGAGGGAGAAGATAGGGAAAGAAGAAGAGGGGCAGCGAGGCAGATGGGAGGAAAAGCATAGGAAAGGGAGATGGAGAGGTAGATAAAGGAGAGGAGGGGATAGGTAAGAAAGATAGAGAAACAGACAAATTGCTGGTGTGACATCAGCCCACACACTCTCCCCTGAAATCTGTTCCCCTCCCAACGAAAACAGCATGGGTTTCGAGCTAAAATAATGATCACATTTGTTTTTGATGAGGCTAGAAGTGGTTATGTATAATCAGTCCTCAAGAGCTGCTATAGATAAGGTGAAGCTGCCATTTTGTTTTTCCACTATTTGGAAAGTATTTAGACCCCTTGACTTTTTCCACATTTTGTTACGTTACAGCCTTATTCTAAAATGGATTCAATTAATTTTTTACTCATCAATCTACACACAATACCCCATAATGACAAAGTGAAAACATGTTTTTAGAAATTTTTGCAAATGTATTTAAAATTAAAAACAGAAATACCTTATTTACAAAAGTATTCAGAACCTTTGCTATGACCTTTGCTACCTTTGCTATGGTGCATCGTGTTTCCATTGATCATCCTTGAGATGTTTCTACAATTTGACTGAAATCCATCTGTGGTAAATTCAATTGATTGGACATGATTTGGAAAGGCACACACCTGTCTATATAAGGTCCCACAGTTGACAGTGCATGTCAGAGCAAAAACCAAGCCATGAGGTCGAAGGAATTGTCCGTAGAGCTCCGAGACAGGATTGTGTTGAGGCACAGATCTGCGAAAGGTTACCAAAACATTTCTGCAGCATTGAAGGTCCCCAAGAACACAGTGGCCTCCATCATTCTTAAATGGAAGAAGTTTGGAACCACCAAGACTATTCCTAGAGCTGGCCGCCCGGCCAAACTGAGCAATCGGGGGAGAAGGGCCTTGGTCAGGGAGGTGACCAAGAACCCGATGGTCACTCTGACAGAGCTCCAGAGTCCCTCTGGAGATAGGAGAACCTTCCGGAAGGACAACCATCTCTGCAGCATTCCACCAATCAGGCCTTTATGGTAGTGGCCTGACGGAAGCCACTCCTCAGTAAAAGGCACATGACAGCCCGCTTGGAGTTTGCCAAAAGGCACCTAAAGGACTCTCAGACAATGAGAAACAAGATTGAACTCTTTGGCCTGAATGCCAAGTGTCACGTCTGGAGGAAACCTGGCACCATCCCTACGGTGAAGCATGGTGGTGGCAGCATCATTCTGTTGGGATGTTTTTCAGCGGCAGGGACTGGGAGACTAGTCAGGATCGAGGGAAAGATGAACGGAGCAATGTACAGAGAGATCCTTGATGAAAACCTGCTCCAGAGCACTCAGGACCTCAGACTGGGGTGACGGTTCACCTTCCAACAGGACAACGCCCCTAAGCACACAGCCAAGACAATGCAGGAGTGGCTTCGGGACAAGTCTCTGAATGTCCTTGAGTAGTACCAGCCAGAGCCCGGACTTGAACCCGGTCGAACATCTCTGGAGAGACCTGAAAATAGCTGTGCAACCATCCAACCTGACAGAGTTTGAGAGGATCTGCAGAGAAGAATGGGAGAAACTCCCCGAATACAGGTGTGTCAAGCTTGTAGCGTCATACCCAAGAAGACTCGATGCTGTAATCACTGCCAAAGGTGCTCAACAAAGTACTGAGTAAAGTGTCTGAATACTTATGTAAATGTCATATTTCTGTTTTTCATTATTAACAAACCTGTTTTTGAATTTAATCCATTTTAGAATAAGGCTGTAACATAACAAAATGTGGAAAAAGTCAAGGGGTCTGAATACTTTCGAATGCACTGTATATGTACAGTGTATTAGCATATGTATACGAGATGTAGGCTATTGTATATGGCTGTATATATATAGCTCTGGTCTGTCCTTAGCCAATGTCAGTATCGTAATCTATGTCACTATCATATTCTATGTCACTATAATATTCTATACAAAAGAACATGGACCCTGATACTTGATACATTATGGTGATGTATATCCAAGACCAACATAGCACGCAGAACACATCCAATACAGGTATCAAGGTGATGCTTTAATTGACCAAGTTCCAATGATATTGTCACTCCTATCTCCTCCTTTACAAAAGACACTAAAATTGAAACATTTTCAAAGAGTAAAAAAGTAGTAAATATCCTTCAACCGACGAGGGATATACCAGAGAGAAAGCATGGCAAGAATCCAAATCATAATCATGACGATCACAGATAAAAGAGACATTACATATTACTATTTACATTTAGTAACACAGTCAGAGATTGACATAAATTATAATATGTATATATTAAGATCTGTAATTTACAAAAATCATAATGCATTATATCACAGAGAAAGGTTATCCATAACCTTGGCATTCAACAACAATTCTCAACCCCACGTTTTGCAACACTTTGACCTAAGCAAAAAAAAAATGTATCTTGTGTTTGGTCAATTTATTGTAGATGGGTGTGTTCTTTGGTTGTGCTAGGGACTTCTACAGACTCTGATTGGAAGTCTCGACTGTCAGTCAGTTGTCGTAGATACCAGGAAGATTAGTTTGATTAGTTGTGCTGCTTAGTTGGCTTCTGTTTAGAAAAATCCACAGGTCTACTGTACGGCTTCGCTGTTCAGTGTTTTAAGTGAGGGCCAGGTAGTAAGTTAGTGTGTGTAACAATCTATGAACTGCTATGGTCATCCCAGACTGAAAGAAAGCTTCAGAACGTCAACTTTTCAGAACTTCATATGAGCATCTCCTAAAGGCCTTCACATCCCAACCGCTTTCAGTTACCACACCAGGCCAAAACACTAGAACCAATCTCCAAGCATGTTCAAGTCAGAGCTTCAAAAGTCAAAGATGTTCAATTCCATAGTTCAAATTTAATCCAAAGTGGTGATGGTAGATTTATCATAATTTACATCAGACACAACACATGAAGGATCCAAACATCCCAAGACATGATTTCAGGCATCTACGGATGATGGAGAATGCCAAAGCACTGACTGATCAGATTCTTCTCAGAGTTTAGACATATCCTTGAATCCTTTCACACTCCCTATCATCCTGACTCTCACAACAAAAACTGCTGCCGGTAAGACCTGGAGTGGGTCACACGGCTGTGCAACCAGCTTTTACTACAACCCCACAACCAGGGTGGATTAGAATCCATAATCAGGACCTGCCCTCTCCCTGACCCTCCTCCCCTCAACCCTTTCCCCGCCCAGCCCCCACAGGCCTCAGTGCCAAACCTTAACACCAGGCCTCATCATTGTTTCAGCTGGCACAGCCTTGGGTGGATCAGATCAGCTGGATTTGGGGATAATCATCTTAGGCCATCTCATTCACATACAGACGAGAGCTCCCATCAGCTCTTTAACCCAAGGCTACTGACCATGCCAGGGCCTGGTCCCTCCTCACACTTCAGGCCAGCCAGCCCTAACATAGATAGTAACACAACAACACTGGCCTTGGCCAGGCTCTCTATCTGAAGAGCTACCCATCAGGCTGGGATGTTGGTCTGGGACATGCATGGCTGTTTGTGTTTGTGTGTGTGTATGCACGTGTGTGTGGGTGTGTGTTTGCTTGCCATTGCGTGTGTGTCTGGTGGTGTCCATCCATCCCAAATGACATCCTCCTCCAGTCCAGACACACACAGAGCCCAGAGGGGCAGGTCAGGCTGCTACTACAGCCTCACCCACACTCCCCTACTACCTCCACCCTGGAGGCTGCTGGTGTGTGTCATCAGGAGGGGAGGGTGAACGGAGAGGAGGACAGAGGTCCATGGTAAATCAAAGTCGCACACTCACCCACACACTCACCTCCTTCCCTCCCATCCACCCCCATTCAACCCCCAACCGAGTCATGGACGACGCTTCGTCTTTCAGTCCCAGCCGTTGTCCTTGATCATGTGGGCCAGCTCAATGATGAACTTGCCCTCCTTGTACTTCTGACTGCTCTCAAAGGCATGCTCCTGTGGGGGAGTGTCAGGGTGGGGGAAGAGATGGAGGGAGGAAGGGGTGGAAAAGAGGGAGGGGGAGAGAGAAGGAGGAAGGGGAGAAAGAAGATGAGGCTTTTCCGGGATGAAAGACTTCACACTCATTGCCATTGAAAACACTGTCCTCTGATTTCGCCTCCAACCTTACTGAACCATGTTATATAATGGAGCATTGCAGAGAGTGCTGTGGGCCACTGCAGATTACAAATGTAGTCAAATGTGTTTTTACTGTACATCTCAATCATATGTAGTCTTTCCTTTTCAAGCAGAGAGAGGCGTTATCAGGTTTCATGGTCTGGAAGTCCACTGGGTCAAGCGTCTGTTGAACTCGGATGGCGTTGTAGAAACAACCGTTTCAGGGATATTAATGGCCTCGCCCCACGTTTCGTTATATCTGGGCAGACGTGTGAGGTACGTGTGAGTCATAACACCCCCCCCCCCACCACACACACACACACACACACACACACACACACACACACACACACACACACACACACACACACACAGGGGTCTGAGGGGGGAAGTGGTAGTGACCAGGCTGATAAACTGGACAGCTGGTATGTGGACCGGCTGTGTGTTCCACATTGACCTGCTGCTAGAAATACCACCTTTACTAAGTACTGAACATGGTGGCACAATTATACTTCAGTGCAAATATAAAGCTGTCCACATCTATATCATACACTGCTCAAAAAAATTAAGGGAACACGTAAACAACACAATGTAACTCCAAGTCAATCACACTTCTGTGAAATCAAACTGTCCACTTAGGAAGCAACACTGATTGATAATACATTTCACATGCTGTTGTGCAAATGGAATAGACAACAGGTGGAAATTATAGGCAATTAGCAAGACACCCCCAATAAAGGACTGGTTTTGCAGGTGGTGACCACAGACCACTTCTCAGTTCCTATGCTTCCTGGCTGATGTTTTGGTCACTTTTGAATGCTGGCGGTGCTTTCACTCTAGTGGTAGCATGAGACGGAGTCTACAACCCACACAAGTGGCTCAGGTAGTGCAGCTCATCCAGGATGGCACATCAATGCGAGCTGTGGCAAGAAGGTTTGCTGTGTCTGTCAGCGTAGTGTCCAGAGCATGGAGGCGCTACCAGGAGACAGGCCAGTACATCAGGAGACGTGGAGGAGGCCGTAGGAGGGAAACAACCCAGCAGCAGGACTGCAACCTCCGCCTTTGTGCAAGGAGGAGCAGGAGGAGCACTGCCAGAGCCCTGCAAAATGACCTCCAGCAGGCCACAAATGTGCATGTGTCTGCTCAAACGGTCAGAAACAGACTCCATGAGGGTGGTATGAGGGCCCGATGTCCACAGGTGGGGGTTGTGCTTACAGCCCAACACCGTGCAGGACGTTTGGCATTTGCCAGAGAACACCAAGATTGGCAAATTCGCCACTGGCGCCCTGTGCTCTTCATAGATGAAAGCAGGTTCACACTGAGCACATGTGACAGAAGTGACAGAGTCTGGAGACGCCGTGGAGAACGTTCTGCTGCCTGCAACATCCTCCAGCATGACCGGTTTGGCGGTGGGTCAGTCATGGTGTGGGGTGGCATTTCTTTGGGGGGCCGCACAGCCCTCCATGTGCTCGCCAGAGGTAGCCTGACTGCCATTAGGTACCGAGATGAGATCCTCAGACCCCTTGTGAGACCATATGCTGGTGCGGTTGGCCCTGGGTTCCTCCTAATGCAAGACAATGCTAGACCTCATGTGGCTGGAGTGTGTCAGCAGTTCCTGCAAGAGGAAGGCATTGATGCTATGGACTGGCCCGCCCGTTCCCCAGACCTGAATCCAATTGAGCACATCTGGGACATCATGTCTCGCTCCATCCACCAACGCCACGTTGCACCACAGACTGTCCAGGAGTTGGCGGATGCTTTAGTCCAGGTCTGGGAGGAGATCCCTCAGGAGACCATCCGCCACCTCATCAGGAGCATGCCCAGGCGTTGTAGGGAGGTCATACAGGCACGTGGAGGCCACACACACTACTGAGCCTCATTTTGACTTGTTTTAAGGACATTACATCAAAGTTGGATCAGCCTGTAGTGTGGTTTTCCACTTTAATTTTGAGGGTGACTCCAAATCCAGACCTACATGGGTTGATAAATTTGATTTCCATTGATAATTTTTGTGTGATTTTGTTGTCAGCACATTCAACTATGTATTTAATAAGATTATTTCATTCATTCAGATCTAGGATGTGTTATTTTAGTGATTTTTTTGAGCAGTGTATATACAGTTGAAGTCGGAAGTTTACATACACTTAGGTTGGAGTCATTAAAACAAGTTTTTCAACCACTCAAAAAAAGTATTGTTAACAAATTATAGTTTTGGCAAGTTGGTTAGGACATCTACTTTGTGCATGACACAAGTAATTTTTCCAACAATTGTTTACAGACAGATTATTTCACTTATAATTCACTGTATCACAATTCCAGTGGTTCAGAAGTTTACATACACTAAGTTGACTGTAACTTTAAACAGCTTGGAAAATTCCAGAAAATGATGTCATGGCTTTAGACGCTTCTGATAGCCTAATTGACATCATTTGAGTCAATTGGAGGTGTAACTGTGGATGTATTTCAAGGCCTACCTTCAAACTCCATGCCTCTTTGCTTGACATCATGGGAAAATCTAAAGAAATCAGCCCAAAAAAATTGTAGACCTCCACAAGTCTGGTTCATCCTTAGGAGCAATTTCCAAACGCCTGAAGGTACCACGTTCATCTGTACAAACAATAGTAAGCAAGTATAAACACCATGGGACCACGCAGCCGTCATACCACTCAGGAAGGAGACGCGTTATGTCTCCTAGAGATTAACGTATTTGGTGCGAAAAGTGCAAATCAATCACAGAACAACAGCAAAGGACCTTGTGAAGAAGCTGGAGGAAACAAGTACAAAAGTATCTATATCCACAGTTAAACGAGTCCTATATTGACATAACCTGAAAGACCGCTCAACAAGGAAGAAGCCACTGCTCCAAAACCGGCACAAACTGCACATGGGGACGAAGATCGTACTTTTTGGAGAAATGTCCTCTGGTCTGATGAAACAAAAATAGAACTGTTTGGCCATAATGACCATCGTTATGTTTGGAGGAAAAAGGGGGATGCTTGCAAGACGAAGAACACCATCCCAACTGTGAAGCACGGGGGTGGCAGCATCATGCTGTGGGGGTGCTTTGCTGCAGGAGGGACTGGTGCACTTCACAAAATAGATTGCATCATGAGGAAGGAAAATTATGTGGATATATTGAAGTTGTGGCAAAATGGTTTAAGGACAACAAAGTCAAGGTATCGGAGTGGCCATCACAAAGCCCTGACCTCAATCCTATAGAACATTTGTGGCCAGAACTGAAAAAGCATGTGCGAGCAAGGAGGCCTACAAACCTGACTCAGTTACACCAGCTCTGTCAGGAGGAATGGGCCAAAATTCACCCAACTTATTGTGGGAAGCTTCTGGAAGGCTACCCAAAACGTTTGACCCAAGTTAAACAGTTTAAAGGTAATGCTACCAAATACTAATTGAGTGTATGTAAACTTCTGACCCACTGGGAATGTGATGAAAGAAATAAAAGCTTAAATAAATCCTTCTCTCTACTATTATTCTGACATTTCACATTCTTAAAATAAAGTGGTGATCCTAACTGACATAAGACAGGGAATCTTTACTAGGATTAAATGTCAGGAATTGTGAAAAACTGAGTTTAAATGTATTTGGCTAAGGTGTATGTGAACTTCCGACTTCAACTGTATACAGCAAATTGACAACTAGAATGCCAAAGGTCTGCAAGGCTGTAATAGCTGCAAATGTAGGATTCTTTGATGAAAGAAAAGTTTGAAGGACACAATTATTATTTATATTAAAAATCATTATTTCTAATCTTGTTAATGACTACATTTCCTATGCATGTTGCTATATTTCCTATTCAAACTCATTTCATGTATGTTTTCATGGAAAACAAGGATGTTTCTAAGTGACCCCAAACTTTTGAATGGTAGTGTATATAATGTATACATTTGTGTTCCACAAGGAACAGTAACTGAATGTATTTTTTCAGTACAACTCAGATTGATGTCCACATCTATCTCCTCATATATATAGGCCACATTATATATAGGCTACATTATATATAGGCTACATTATATATACACACTACATTATACAGTGCCTTCGGAATGTATTCAGACTCCTTGACTTTTTCCACATTTTGTTAGGTTACAGCCTTATTCTAAAATTGATAAAATAGTTTTTTCCCCTCATCAATCTACACACAATACCCCATATTGACAAAGCAAAAACTGATTTTTAGAATTCTTTGCAAATGTATAAAAAATAACAAACGGAAATATCACATTTATCTAAGTATTCAGACCCTTTACTCAGTACTGGGAGCCTGAGGGGGCCGGCTGAAGCATGGGAGCCTGAGTGGGCCGGCTGAGGCATGGAAGCCTGACGGGGCCGGCTGAGGCATGGAAGCCTGACGGGGCCGGCTGAGGCATGGAAGCCTGACGGGGCCGGCTGAGGCATGGGAGCCTGACGGGCCGGCTGAGGCATGGGAGCCTGACGAGCCGGCTGAGGCATGGGAGCCTGACGAGCCGGCTGAGGCATGGGAGCCTGACGAGCCGGCTGAGGCATGGGAGCCTGACGAGCCGGCTGAGGCATGGGAGCCTGACAAACTGGCTGAGAGTCAGCATTCTGTAAAAGCTTCCAGCATCTGGTATTCCCAAGCATTCTCCCAACCAAGTATTAATCAGGCCCGACCCTGCTTAGCTACGACACCAGAAAAATTCCTGTTGCTTCCAATTGTTGAATCAGCATTCTGTAACACAGACGCTGGGAGACGAGTAGTACAGGGTGAGGGTTTAATAATAAATAAACATAGAACAAACCAAGAACAGCGTCTGGACATGAGAAACATAACATCAATGCTGACTGGCGAATGAACCTGAGGGAGTGACAGATATAGGGGAGGTAATCAATGACGTGATGGAGTCCAGGTGAGTCCCATAATGAAGCGCAGGTGTGCGTAATGATGAGTGAACGAGTGAACTGGTGACCTCGAGCACCGGAGAGGGGGAGCGGGTGTAGACGTGACAGCGGAACTCTAGAGCTCTGTCAGAGTGACCATCGGGTTCTTGGTCACCTCCCTGACCAAGGCCCTTCTCCCCCGATTGCTCAGTTTGGCCGGGTGACCAGCTCTAGGAAGAGGCTTGGTGGTTCCAAACTTCTTCCATTTAAGAATGATGGAGGCCACTGTGTTCTTGGGGACCTTCAATGCTGCAGAACTGTTTTGGTACCCTTCCCCAGATCTGTGCCTCGACACAATCCCAGCTCTACGGATAATTCCTTCAACCTCATGGCTTGGTTTTGCTCTGACATGCACTGTCAACTGTGGGACCTTATATAGACAGGTGTGTGCCCTTCCAAATCATGTCCAATCAATTGAATTTACCACAGGTGGACTCCAATCAAGTTGTAGAAACATCTCAAGGATGATCAATGGAAACAGGATGCACCTGAGCTCAATTTCGAGTCTCATAGCAAAGGGTCTGAATACTTATGTAAATAAGGTATTTCTGTTTTTAATTTTTTATACATTTGCTAAAATGTCTAAAAACCTGTTTTCACTTTGTCATTATGGGGTATTGTGTGTAGCTTGCCGAGGATTTGTATTTATTTAATCAATTTTAGAATAAGGCTGTAACGTAGCAAAATTTGGAAAATGTCAAGGGGTCTGAATACTTTCCGAAGGCACATTAGATATAGGGTACATTAACCTGTATATAGGCTACATTATATATATATTGGCTACATTATTTGTAGGCTACATTATTTATAGGGCCTTCTTATTTTGTATACATTAAAACAGATATCTTTTTTTGAACGGATTCTAACCCTTTGTCTAATTTGTGCTTGGATAAGCAGTTGTTCTTGTTGCTGGTCAAACTGGTCTTGAATCACTACAGTTATCTCAGTGTGGACAGCCCAGCATGAATGGCTACTATTCTGAAACCAATTGAATCACTCTACAAACAAACACTTAAGGTTTTTGATAACAAACCAAACAGTTACCACCATTGTCACGTCATTCACAAACATAATTTATTCAGTCTGGATAGCTTTAAGCAGTATGTAGATGCAAGCCTTGTCTTTAAGATCCTGCATGGTCTTGCCCCTCCACCTCTATGCCGGCATATCATGCTCAAGGAAAACACCTCCAGGATAACAAGAGCAGTAACTAGAGGGGATTGCGTTGTCCCTACACAGCATATTCGGTCAATCGGCCTTCTCTGTTAGAGCTACAATATACTGGAATGCAATGCTCATGGACTTGAAAAGCTGCACTGATTATTGCACTTTTACATTTAAATTGAAAACATGGCTCAAATCTATCCAAACCTGTGCACATGAGTTATCTGTGGTTCCTCATATGTAAGATTACAGTGTTTTTATTACGAATAAGTTGTTGTTGTTGTTAGAATTATATATTATTGGATGTCAAGTATTTGTATTTTGTATTGTTTTAGTGTGTATTTGTATTGTGGCAGTATAATTGCCTTTACCTGCCCTGGGACTACGGGTGCAAATTAGCTTTTGGCTAACCCTGGCACATTTACATGGATGTTGCATTATTGTAATATTGATGTTGATTAATGTGCATTTTCCCCTATATATTTAACATTTAAAAAATAATAATAATAAACATATTTGAACTAGGAGAAGGAGGTCAACTTCGGTTGATTGAGTACTTGGAAAATTTATAGGCCTACATCATGAGAAATATGCCCCTTAGATCAAGATTGGGACTGCAAGGAGTCCCTTTACTGAGTCAGCCTTTGTACTGTAATGTTACACTGATATTAGGAATGATGGGCCCAAAATAGTCTCAGGATTCAAAATTAAGACCAGAACTCAGCCATGTAAATACGATAACATGAACAGTGAAGTAGGGCCTGCACACTCAATTGTTCCAAAATCTTTATTAGTTCACAGCATTTCAATTCTACAACGATCTAATAAGGTATTACTAATGAAGGTAATAATGTGCCAGTGCCTATCCTCTCTAACTCTAGATACAGTATCTGCCCCCCCCAGACACGTGCACACTCTTACACTCACATATTTCCAACCCAGAGTTGTCTTGCAGTTCTCACAGTAGATATCTGCCACAGCATGCAGCCCCGTGAGCAACACTCTCTCTTCCGCCGGCCCACACCCCACGTTCACCCTGAGAGAGAGAGAGCGAGAGAGAGCAAGAGAAAGCAAGCTCATAAGCTGTTGCCTGTCTATACTGAGTCATAACGCCCACTCACACACTAGATAATATTGCCCAAAGGCACTTCATACTGAGCTAGATAGGGACCGTGTTCATACAGTAGGAATGAGCATCTTCATTTCATACTCATTGTGATTGTGCTCGTGGGCTGAGAACTGGATCATGGCTGTACTGTATCTACATGCAAACACACTGATACTCACACTGAGTTGAACAGATAAGCTCTGCCTTGGCTCCCCTGGAAAGACTGCATGAGAAGAAGATAAGTAGGTTAAAAAGGATCCACAGCCCCGCCACTTCATTGGCGTGATCATTGAACAGCAGGAAATATCCCAGATTTTGCCTTTAAAGTAAGACTGACTGACTGACTGACAGACACATGTGCCTTCTGTACAGGTGAGGGTTTACTTTACATAGTGTAGCACATGGAAATAGTAATATTCTAACATACAAACACACACACCCACACAAGCTGTGGAAGTATGATGGCGGTGAAATGAGCAGGTGCAGTAGGCTCGTTTCCAGTCTGAAAGTGCAGCATCAGCTGTAATACTAGGTCCAAGTGTGAAGGAGTCTGCCAGCAGAGCTTTAAGACAGCTGCAGCAAGCACTCAATACCTTTCCAGTTATTACAGTGCGATGCATTGAAAGTTCTAATTAATCTGTAAAAACTACAGTATTTATACAGTATATCCTTTATTTAACCAGGGAAGTCACGTTAAGATGGACATCTCTTCCAAGTAAGTCCTGGAGCCAAACAGTAGCATGTTCTCTCATGCTCTCTCTTGGGAATGACTTGCAGGGCAGTGTTTCCCTTAAATACATGATTCAACTTATTACCAAACCCTTGATTAGTAGAATCAGGGTCAAGTTCATTCGGCACAAAACAGAAGAAAACGGACTGAAACACGGAGTGTCTATCTGGACTTGTCAAACAAGAAATACTCTAATTTTCTGTTGCAAAACGTTTGAAAACGTTTTCCGCTGCATGCCCTAATGAACACCACCCAGGTGTGGTAGGGCTGGGCTTTAAAGATTGACTGCCTTTAAAAAGCAATGAATCCCTTTGAAAACGGCCTATGTGGCATCGATATGAGTCAGAAACAGTTATTCTAGTGTAAAGATGTAGTACAGTGTGTAATTAGGATAAGTCTCGTCTAAAATTTTGTTTGGAACATCCGTGCGTCACAACGGGTAAATGACGATGTCCATTTGCCCAATAACATTGCTCTCAATCCAATAGCATAGACAGTGAGACAGACCTGCCCAGCAGCTCCGACTGTTTACATAAGACAACACGTCAGGCATTTTTTTACTTGAGAAATACTGCACCAAACAACTTAGTTAGATCTAAAATTGCGTGACTAAAACATCCTCTGCAAGTTCTTAGATTCATTCAGGGGACTTTGAGGAAAGTGAAATAGGCTTCCACATCTACAGTGTCTCACGGGGGACAAACATCATTAACCAAATGCGGAATCGGTTAGGAAACACACATCCAAGACTGAAATCTAGTTTTTCTAATGAGCAACAGAAAAACATACGTGCCAATCGGCATGTTCAGCGGCTCTTTAAAGGAAATGTGGAATAGATTGAGGGAAACACAATTAGAGAAAGCAGTGTTATTAGGGAATGGACAGTTGTGGTCGGTATGTTAAAGTCAGTATTCACCTTGGAGATGAGCTCGTCGTGGTTGGCCAGGTGCGCTCTGCAGTGGATGCAGCTGTAGGTTCGGTGGCAGCTGGGCAGGTAGGCCTGGAAGGTCTTGGAGCGCGTCATCCTGACCATCGGGTGTGGCGGGGTGGGGGGACGGTGCAGGAAGGGGCTGCCGGCCCAGCTAGGCTCGCAGGGGAAGCACCGCAACACACAGGTGAGGGCCGTTGTGGGGGGCGGGGCGGGAGGCACACACCTGTTGAAGCGGAGCACAGGAGATACACAATCTGATGAAGGTGGTCTATAGTCGAAACCTCGTTGTTGTTTTTGACCTAATCCCTGTGTAGGTTGTTGGCAACACAGCACAAACAGATCTGAGTCCAGGATAATCCGTGTGTGGATATAAAGAGATTTTAACTGGAGTGCCTTGGAGAAAAAAAAATTATGAGCTCCCACAGGGATACCTTTACATGGCTGCATAATGCATATCATTGTCTATCTTTTGACACTGTAAAATACAAAAATCTGTTAGCCTCCATATGTTCTCTGCATATGAAGTACAGTAGTGAAATTACTTTGCAGTGGAGCATGACAGAGCATGAATGTGTATGTAGCCTATGATAGATGACAAATGCCAACATGGTCGCTGAGGTATTCTATACTGAGTCAAGCATAGACTGTGATCTCATGATCATTGTACTATACTGAGAGACAGTAGCCTTAAAATAATTTCACTTTAGACTGTTAACTCAAAGAGGCTTGTAAGGGAAAGGCTGTGTGCTATAAGCCTTTAAGACATGCCCTTGTTTTCTCTGTAGGCTTCTGCCTCTGAGCCAACAGTGTGGGACCGGGGCATAAAGAGACCACTCAGAGGTCTTGCGCACACAAACGCACGCACGCACGCACGCACACACGCACGCAGACACACGCTAACCTCGAAGCCTTTCTTTCTCTCTGTCATTTTAGGACAAAAATGTGAGGATAAGGCTAAAGCACAGTTTAGTACAGATCCAAGTAATCTCAACAATCTCCATAGACTCCAATTAGGAACAGGTTGTTACTCTAAACCAGGGTTGTGGTCAATTCCATTTAAATTCAGTCAATTCAGGAAGTAAACTTGAAATTCCAATTCCACATTTACCTCATTGAAACGCATTAAGGAATATTGGAATGGGAACTTCCTGAATTGACCCCAACCCTGCAGTAAACCCTGGGTGCAATGAGGTTCATCTAGTCAAACAGCCTTGGTTAGATACATATACAGTGGGGAGAACAAGTATTTGATACACTGCTGATTTTGCAGGTTTTCCTACTTACAAAGCATGTAGAGGTCTGTTTTTATCATAGGTACACTTCAACTGTGAGAGACGGAATCTAAAACAAAAATCCAGAAAATCACATTGTAATTAATTTGCATTTTATTGCATGACATAAGTATTTGATACATCAGAAAAGCAGAACTTAATATTTGGTACAGAAACCTTTGTTTGCAATTACAGAGATCATACGTTTCCTGTAGGTCTTGACCAGGTTTGCACACACTGCAGCAGGGATTTTGGCCCACTCCTCCATACAGACCTTCTCCAGATCCTTCAGGTTTCGGGGCTGTCGCTGGGCAATACGGACTTTCAGCTCCCTCCAAAGATTTTCTATTGGGTTCAGGTCTGGAGACTGGCTAGGCCACTCCAGGACCTTGAGATGCTTCTTACGGAGCCACTCCTTAGTTTCCCTGGCTGTGTGTTTCGGGTCGTTGTCATGCTGGAAGACCCAGCCACGACCCATCTTCAATGCTCTTACTGAGGGAAGGAGGTTGTTGGCCAAGATCTCGCGATACATGGCCCCATCCATCCTCCCCTCAATACGGTGCAGTCGTCCTGTCCCCTTTGCAGAAAAGCATCCCCAAAGAATGATGTTTCCACCTCCATGCTTCACAGTTGGGATGGTGTTCTTGGGGTTGTACTCATCCTTCTTCTTCCTCCAAACACGGCGAGTGGAGTTTAGACCAAAAAGCTCTATTTTTGTCTCATCAGACCACATGACCTTCTCCCATTCCTCCTCTGGATCATCCAGATGGTCATTGGCAAACTTCAGACGGGCCTGGACATGCGCTGGCTTGAGCAGGGGGACCTTGCGTGCGCTGCAGGATTTTAATCCATGACGGCGTAGTGTGTTCCTAATGGTTTTCTTTGAGACTGTGGTCCCAGCTCTCTTCAGGTCATTGACCAGGTCCTGCCGTGTAGTTCTGGGCTGATCCCTCACCTTCCTCATGATCATTGATGCCCCACGAGGTGAGATCTTGCATGGAGCCCCAGACCAAGGGTGATTGACCGTCATCTTGAACTTCTTCCATTTTCTAATAATTGCGCCAACAGTTGTTGCCTTCTCACCAAGCTGCTTGCCTATTGTTCTGTAGCCCATCCCAGCCTTGTGCAGGTCTACAATTTTATCCCTGATGTCCTTACACAGCTCTCTGGTCTTGGCCATTGTGGAGAGGTTGGAGTCTGTTTGATTGAGTGTGTGGACAGGTGTCTTTTATACAGGTAACGAGTTCAAACAGGTGCAGTTAATACAGGTAATGAGTGGAGAACAGGAGGGCTTCTTAAAGAAAAACTAACAGGTCTGTGAGAGCCGGAATTCTTACTGGTTGGTAGGTGATCAAATACTTATGTCATGCAATAAAATGGAAATTAATTAGTTAAAAATCATACAATGTGATTTTCTGGATTTTTGTTTTAGATTCCGTCTCTCACAGTTGAAGTGTACCTATGATAAAAAATTACAGACCTCTACATGCTTTGTAAGTAGGAAAACCTGCAAAATCGGCAGTGTATCAAATACTTGTTCTCCCCACTGTATATCTGTCAACTAGCAGGTTCAAGGCCTGCCCTGTCATTATCTTGAAATATGGAGCTAAATACAGCTTCAATATATTTAGTTACAGTTTACTGTCAAAGCAATGATGTACTCTATGAATCCAATATGTTCCGTCGCTAATGGATGACGAGTCAACCACACTCTGCAATGGGTGGTATGATTACCTAGGTCTATTTCTGGTTTGATTACCTAGGTCTATTTTTGGTTTGATTACCTAGGTCTATTTCTGGTTTGATTACCTAGGTCTATTTCTGGTTTGATTACCTAGGTCTATTTTTGGTTTGATTACCTAGGTCTATTTTTGGTTTGATTACCTAGGTCTATTTTTGGTTTGATTACCTAGGTCTATTTCTGGTTTGATTACCTAGGTCTATTTCTGGTTTGATTACCTAGGTCTATTTTTGGTTTGATTACCTAGGTCTATTTTTGGTTTGATTACCTAGGTCTATTTTTGGTTTGATTACCTAGGTCTATTTCTGGTTTGATTACCTAGGTCTATTTCTGTCTCATGGGGATATCACACAGGCACGCCTCGCACACACACACATATAAACACACACTTACACACCAGTGTTGATATAGTATGGTGAAATCAAGTATTGTGAAAGAGAAACATTATGTCACGGCCTTCCAAAGGATCCATTCCCAAGCTTTTCCCATGTCAGTCAGTGACTTGAGAGATAAAATGAGAGGTGAGTCTCATGTGCATTACAAACGGAGAGACCGGCTTGTCTGCACCAAATCACATTAGCCTTCCAAATCACCTCGATTAGTAATGATGTTCCACCCTCGACTCAGATATAGAAAATCATTTGTCCAGGTCTCTCAGTTATAATATATATTATGTCTCCATGTAACATATGTATAGAATGAGAGTAACAGATGGTGAATACAGTGTATTCGGAAAGTATCCAGACCCCTTGACTTTTTTCACATTATGTTACTGTGATGAGTGTGATGAAAGGAGTCAGGCGCAGGAGGGTAATCACCGAATACAGAGTTTATTCCTTCGTTGACACATAACTGCGCTCAAATAGCGATCAACGAAACAGGCACAGGGGAAACTCTCATCCCTGGCAAATACACGGTAAAGGTAGAATCCAATAATACAATGGCACAGGGGGAAAATCTACCCTGGCAACAAAATGTATGAGTAGCTCCACCGAGCTATACTACTCTCACAAATAACAATCACCCACAAGGACAAGGGGGCAGAGGGAACACTTATACACAGACTAATGAGGGGATTAGAACCAGGTGTGTGTGATTGACAAGACAAATGTGATGATGATTGGGGCGGCAGTGGTTAGTAAGCAGGTGACGACGAACGCCGAAGCCTGCCCGAACAAGGAGGGGAGGCAGCCTCGGCCAAAGTCGTGACAGTTACTTTACAGCCTTATTCTAAAATTGATTAAATTATTTTTTTCTTCAATCTACACACAATACCCCATAATGACAAAGCAAAAAAATACAAAAATACCTTGCTTATATAAGTATTCAGACCCTTTGCTATGAGACTCGAAATTGAGCTCAGGTGCATCCTGTTTCCATTGATCATCCTTGAGATGTTTCTACAACTTGATTGGAGTCCACCTGTGGTAAATTCAATTGATTGGACATGATTTGGAAAGGCACACACCTGTCTATATAAGGTCTGACAGTTGACAGTGCATGTCAGAGCAAAAACCAAGCCATGAGGTCGAAGGAATTGTCCGTAGAGCTCTGAGACAGGATTGTGTTGAGGCACAGATCTTGAGGCACAAAAAATGTCTGCAGCATTTAAGGTCCCCAAGAACACAGTGGCCCCCTTCATTCTTAAATGGAAGAAGTTTGGAACCACCAAGACTATTCCTAGAGCTGGCTGCCCGGCCAAACTGAGCAATCGGGGGAGAAGGGCCTTGATCAGGGAGGTGACCAAGAACCCAATGGTCACTCTGACAGAGCTCCAGAGTTCCGCTGTGGAGATGGGAGAACATTCCAGAAGGACAACCATCTCTGCAGCACTCCACCAATCAGGCCTTTAGGGTAGAGTGGCCAGACGGAAGCCACTCCTCAGTAAAAGGCACATGACAGCCCGCTTGGAGTTTGCCAAAAAGCACCTAAAGGACTCTCAGACCATGAGAAAGAAGATTCTCTGGTCTGATGAAACCAAGATTGAATTATTTGGCCTAAATGCCAAGCGTCACGTCTGGAGGAAACCTGGCACCATCCCTACGGTGAAACATGGTGGTGGCAGCATCATGCTGTAGGGATGTTTTTCAGTGGGAGGGACTGGGAGACTAGTCAGGATCGAGGGGAAAGATGAACGGAGCAAAGTACAGAGAGATCCTTGATGAAAACCTGCTCCAGAGCGCTCAGGACCTCAGACTGGGGTGAAGGTTCACCTTCTAACAGGACAATGACTCTAAGCATACAGCCAAGACAACGCAGGAGTGGCTTCGGGACAAGTCTCTGCACGTCCTTGAGTGACCCAGCCAGAGCCCGGACTTGAACCCAATCTAATATCTCTGGAGAGACCTGAAAATAGCTGTGCAGCGACGCTCCCCATCAAACCTGACAGAGCTTGAGACGATCTGCAGAGAAGAATGGGAGAAACTCCCCAAATACAAGTGTGCCAAGCTTGTAGCGTAATACCCAAGAAGACTTGAGGCTGTAATCACTGCCAAAGGTGCTTCAAAGTACTGAGTAAAGGGTCTGAATACTTATGCAAATGTGATATTTTGTTTTTTCATTTTATATAAATTAGCAAAAAAGTCTAAAAACCTGTTTTTGCTTTGTCGTTATGGTGTATTGTGTGTAGATTGATGATGGGGGAAAAAACCATTGAATCAATTTTAGAATAAGGCTGTAACGTAACAAAATGTGGAAAAAGTCAAGGGGTCTGAATTCTTTCCGAATGCCCTGTATATTCACTTGTTTCGAACATTTTATAACTCAACCTATGTTGCACCTGTTGTTTCTTAGGTGAGAGGCTGACCGACACATTGACGAATCCTCCACTCATTTTCAAACACCAGATCATCTTTTGATGCGCTCATCTAAAAAAGGATCTCTTTCAAGACCCAGCATTTGTTTGTAGACTAAATGCAGCCACTACAACAACACAGCACAGCATGGAGAAGCTCTACCCTGCTTTGCACCAAAGCCTCTTTGTTTCATATCACAGAAGAATATCTAAGAACGCTAAGAATAAGTCCAAAGACTAAAACCAAGACACAAATTCTCTCTCTGTCAAATAATTCTCTAAAAGATAACAGGGATGGGATCCGCCAATGCTCTGAGCTTGCAAAAACTGCCAGCATGTTTTTTTGACACATCATCATCATCATCATCATCTTCTCCTGTTTCTGTCTGCCTTGCCCCTGAAGGCTGATGTGCTGAGCTGTCTGGTATTGGTATAGTCTGGGTGCCACACTACATGCCACATCACTTACTAGCCAAAGGTCCTCTCTGGTATCACAACAACAACCTTGCTTATGTAACCGGAGAGAAGCTGCTGCTGCTGCTGTGGTCGCTCGAACAGTCAGAGGGAAGATGATAGCGATAGCAGCCAGGGGACTGAGAGAGAGACGGACTGGGGAGCGTGCGTCCTTGTGTTTGGGGTCCTAGTTGTCCTTCATAGCACACAGCCCCACAGTTCCAATGGGAGGCTTTATGTAGTTCCTCTCTCTCTTTCTCTCTCTCTCTCTCTCTCATTTTGTTTCAGGGGCAACAGACAGCATAGTGATGCGTTACATCACTGACAGCTACAGACCGAATCTCAAATCCCCTTATCTGATCTTGAGGGTGGACAATGTAATCCTTTATTGGGGTTTTCCCTTATTTGATTTGTATGAGCCTTCGAGGGGAGGACATAAATGTTATGGTGTGTGTGCGTGCGCCTCTGCATATTACTGTAATAATTGACTTGAAGAAACTGTATGTCAGTGAGGCTATGTTTATTTGTGTTTCTGTGATTCAGTCAGAAATCAATGAGTAGCCTACTAGCTATACAGTTAGCCTACCTACCCATTCATACATAGAGAGTGGTGGCGGACTGGTGTGTGTGTGTGTGTGTGTTGTTGGCTGTGTGTCTGGTTGGGTGCTTGTGTATTTGCATACATGAACCGGGTCAGAGACAGTGGCTGCCTGGATCACTGTATGTAGGGCAGACCTTTAGCCACCACAGATGGTGGGGTTGCCTCAGTTTAGCAATGCAAGGACGTTGATTCAACATACACAAACTCACACACACGCGCAGGCACACACGCACATATACACCTACACACACCTTGTTCATGAGTGTGCTCATTGATCCAAAATGTTGTCTTGTGTTGTGTGTACAGTAACATGTCATTATTTGAAAAAACATCTATCTTTACATTATGATGCTGGAAAAGTATTTACTCAGCATTGCCTTTTAGCATCACACTCGGAAAAGTCCTATACAGGAGTTGCAAGTGCTACAGTGCATTCGGAAAGTATTCAGACCCTTGACTTTTTCCACATTTAATTACGTTACAGCCTTATTCTAAAATTGATGAAATAAAACATTTTCCTTCATCAATCTACACATAATGTTTTTGCACATTTACATAATTATTCAGAACCTTTGCTATGAGACTCAAAATTGAGCTCAGGTGTATCCTGTTTCCATTGTTCATCCTTGAGATGTTTCTACAACTTGATTGGAATCCACCTGTGGGAAATTCAATTGATTGGAGATGATTTGGAAAGGCACACACCTGTCTATATAAGGTCCCACAGTTGACAGTGCATGTCAGAGCAAAAACCAAGCCATGAGGTCGAAGGAATTGTCCGTCAAGCTCCGAGACAGGATTGTATCGAGGCACAGATTTGGGGAAGGGTAATAACAAATGTCTGCATTGTTGAAGGTCCCCAAGAACACATTGGCCTCCATCATTCTTAAATGGAAGAAGTTTGGAAAAACACCAAGACTCTTCCTAGAGCTGGCCGCCCGGCCAAACTGAGCAATCGGGGGAAAAGGGCCTTGGTCAGGGAGATGACCAAAAACCTGATGGTCACTCTGACAGAGCTCCAGAGGTCCTCTGTGGAGATGGGAGAACCTTCCAGAAGGACAACCATCTCTGCAGCACTCCACCAATCAGGCCTTTATGGTAGAGTGGCCAGATGGAAGCCACTCCTCAGTAAAAGGCACATGACAGCCCGCTTGGATTTGCCAAAAGGCACCTAAAGACTCTCAGACCATGAGAAACAAGATTCTCTGGTCTGATGAAACCAAGATTCAACTCTTTGGCCTGAATGCCAAGCGTCACGTCTGGAGGAAACCTGGCACCATCCCTACGGTGAAGCATGGTGATGGCAGCATCATGCTGTGGGGAAGTATTTCAGCGGCAGGGACTGGGAGACTAGTCAGGATCGAGGGAAAGATGAATGGAGCAAAGTACAGAGAGATCCTTAAAGAAAACCTGCTCCAGATTGCTCAGGACCTCAGACGGGGGCAAAGGTTGATGATCCTAAGCACACAGCCAAGACAACGCAGGAGTGGCTACGGGCAAGTCTCTGAATGTCCTTGAGTGGCCCAGCCAGAGCCCGGACATGAACCCGATCGAACATCTCTGGAGAGACCTGAAAATAGCTGTGCAGCGACGCTCCCCATCCAACCTGACAGAGCTTGAGAAGATCTGCAGAGAAGAATGGGAGAAACTCCCCAAATGTCAAGCTTGTAGCGTCATACCCAATAATCGAGGCTGTAATCGCTGCCAAAGGTGCTTCAACAAAGTACTGAGTAAAGGATCTGAATACTTATGTAAATGTGATATCTGTTTTCGCTTTGTCATTATGGGGTATTGTGTGTAGATTGATGAGGAAAAAAACGATTTAATCCATTTTAGAATAAGGCTGTAACGTAACAACATGTGGAAGAAGTCAAGGGGTCTGAATACTTTACGAATGTAAAGGCAACAAATCAATCAAATGTATTTATAAAGCCCTTTTACATCAGCAGATGTCACAAAGTGCTATACAGAAACCCAGCCTAAAACCCCAAACATCAAGCAATGCAGATGTAGAAGCATGGTGGCTAGGAAAAACTCCCTAGAAAGGCAGAAACCTAGGAAGAAACCTAGAGAGGAACCAGGCTCTGAGGGGTCCCCTTCTGGCTGTGCCGGGTGGAGATTATAACAGTACATGGCCATTAAGGCCAGATTTTTCTCCAAGATGTTCAAACGTTTATAGATGATCAGCAGGGTCAAATAATAATCACAGTGGTTGTAGAGGTTGCAACAGGTCAGTACCTCAGGAGTAAATGTAATTTGTCTATTAGCGCCAGTTGTCTATAGGATACATGCAAATAAATAATTTGACAATGGTCAACTGGGGGAATAGGCTACACATGATTAAACACCCAACACAGAAGCCATAATAAACATGAAGCAGACAGTGACAATGTACCGATTGGCCACAGCAACCGGCAGCCCAAACTTTAGCAAAAAAAATGCACCCTAGGGCAGACAACCTTAGATTCCTGTTACACCCGACCATTTAACTCCCAGGAACTCTCCCTTATATTGCCTTATGCTCACTGGCATGGCATCAGCCTCATGGCAAAATGTGTAGAATAGCAGGAAATTAGCTCTAAAACAGCACAATTTTCTCAGCCTCATGCCAAAATGTGTAAAGTAGCATGAAAACGGCACATTCTGCTCTCTGGCCCATGGCAAAAACGGGTGGGGGGCTTGCTCGGACCTTGCGCTACTCCACTGCATATCATGATATTGATATTGTAAGCAGTTATGTTCCATTACTGCCTGCGGCTGCTGGTGGTGCAGGATCAGGCCACGCGTAACGTGTAATAATAATAATAACAACCAGCTCCACTGCAGACCTCGCCATCCCATCCCATCCATGCCCGCAACATAAACAACCAGCTTGCAACATTCTGAACTGCATTGGGCAATTCATTTATAATAGCCTATTCAACCATAATGGTCAAACATTTCATTATGCAACTGAAATTGAATTTAAGGATTATTATGACAGCAAAATATTCCCCATTATAACACAAATATATATATATATATAATGGCAAGGATTTACATAGATTTACCTTTGAATAGAAGAAAAATATGTTGATCACTTAAAAAGTCGCACCTCCTCGTTTTCCTCGTAGCAATGCCAAACCTAAATCCTTCTTCGCATTCCTTTCGAGGTAAATTTCCTCTCCAGCACTGGCAAGTCGTGCAGACGCAATGTTTTTAAGCGCGCGGTGCCCAGACTGAGTTTGATGTAATTGCACAGAACCACACTGTACTTCGTCTGAAGACAAATTGACAGCCGTGTCCGCCAACCAATACAGCGATAAGGCATAGCAACACTGCGCTTATTGGTTATGAATAGACAGGAGCAACCAATACTCTTGCTCGTAATGTTAGGCTGGCTACCTGCAGTGCTATTCAGTTTTAGGACAGAGACAGATACAGACCTGTATTAAAGAATTTGCTGAGGAAAGCTATATCATTCAGAGATTGTGTTGACATGATGTAAATAGGCAGAATAGGCACAGCAATGGACTATGGACTTCAACAACTGAACTTTTGATCCAAGATTAACTCTTCGTATGACTTGTTTTGACGTTCGGTGGACTCTCCTTGGACCCTACTTCAGGGTTCCCCAAACTCGGTCCTGGGGTCCCCCATGGATGCACGTTTTGGTTTTTGTCCTAGCACTACACAGCTGATTCATATAATCAAAGCTTGATGATGAGTTGGTAATTTGAATAAACTGTGTAGTGCTAGGGTAAAAACCAAAACGTGCAAAACGGATAGTTTGTTTCAAATCTTTATGTAACTGATTGCTACCTCCTAGTGGTGGTTTTAAACCACACTCAAGATAAGAGGTGAAAGTAAAAGTTGTGTGTGAAAGCAGATCAGCGCCATCTGATGTTTATACTTGGGGACGTGCTGTTTGATAGAAACAATCTAATTTCTTTCCAAATGGCTTCAACATCTATAAACATGACCTGAGTTTAATGGTAATTTAGCCGGAATCCTGAGAGACACGAGACATAGATGCGTTGCTTTTTCTGTTGAATATGCTCGATTGGTGTATATTTTATTCTTTAGATCATGTTTTAAATCTATACTGACTGATGTCTGGCGATTGTTATATTGTTGTTATAACATACCATATCTCCGGATGTTAGTGAGATATCAAGCCTAGCGGTTAAGAGCGTTGGGCCAGTAACCGAAACGTCACTGGTTCGAATCCCCGAGCCGACTAGGTGAAAAATCTGTCTATGTGCCCTTGAGCAAGGCACTTAACCCTAATTGCTCCTGTAAGTCGCTCTGGATCAGAGCGTCTGCTAAATGAAAAAAAATGTACAGTTCCAACTATCTCACGTGTTGGACTTTTATTTTGAAACTCGAAAATGGCTCAAGAAGTCGATATATGACGTACTAGAGACATTCTAGAAGCACTAAGGCTGCCATTTTTGTCTGGTGAGATGTGCAAGAGTGCCATCAAACAACTTTTGATTCAGCTAGCTATCATACTGGAACTAAAGAAGTCGAACAAAATTGTTAATTTTAGTATTAGATTGAGGACACAATTTCAATGGATTACGAGTCATTTCAATCACAAACAACGTCAATTTTGGCTATTGTTGTTGAAGCGGCCATAGCGGAAATGTGCAGAGTTGAGCATGAAGGGTCAATCATGGCATCATGTAGTGAAATATCTTGCACTGGAGATGATGGTGATCAAAATGCCAACACAGGGGTGGGTGTCTTTCTACCTAGCCAGGTAACTGGGTTGGACCCATTTTGAAACGAGGTTTGCGTAACAGTACCTAATGTAGCCTATTACTTCCAAGATAGCTAGCTGTTCATTAGCCTAACATCTTGACGGTCCGATGCTCAGTTAGTAAAATGTACTGACCCAGTCCTAACTTCAGGGGTCAGGAGGACTCTAGTCTCACTGGTATGATGGCCAACAGCCCAAACATATTTTGGAACCACTGCTTTACTAGATGACCCTAGTTGATGTCATCCCTCAGATAACACACTAAAGATCAAACTGTGGGATATGGGGTGTTGTTTATTAGGATCGAACGGTGGGAGATGGGGTTTAGTTTTTTAGGATCAAACTGGGAGATGGGGTCATAATATGCCATTTAATATGTCATGATGTGGTTGTGATATTAGGTAGCCTAATATTACCTAGCCATGTTTTTCTTTCCATTTCCATCAGGCACAGCTTGTCTCCATCATGCACCTGTTGATGAAGGAAGCCGTTAGAAAGTTATGTAGGTTATTCAGAGAGTGTACTACAATTCTACAAAATGAAAATGAGACCCTGAAGAATAAGCTGGAATTTATGGTGACACCATTGGAAAAAGGTGAGATCCGAGAAAGAGTCATTCTGAGTTGACCAACAGTAATCAGTTCGGTTAGTTGGGAGAGTGGCTGCAATCCACAGGAAATCTCACAGATTGTAAAAATCCCAAATACAACATTAAAATCTAAATAGCAAGAATACCATGCAGAGCATTAGATTAACTGTACTGCGTAAACATTAATCTGATTTCATATGAAAGAGAAACAGGGTTGAAATAGTTCCACTTATTTCCATTTCTCTTTTAGGTTATGTCATGTCTCCTACCAGTGCAATGACAGATGGGGAGACCTCCGCATCATCAGAGGAAGACTGTGAGGTGGGTAGATTGTATTTCATCAAATCATGCCAAATGAGAAATCATTGTAATAGGAAGTCTGTTTTTACTGTGTTTGTGTCTGTCGGCAGGAGGATGGCTCAATCGACTGTTCAATCAAGGAGTGTGATATCTCAGGAATCAATGCAACATCAACCAGTGGAGAGGGTAAAACTTTGATTGCAGTGATTCTGCTCAGTAGACGTCTCAACTGTATTTAGATACGTGTATTGCGATTAACCAGAGGTTCATGTGGCTTTCTTTATGTTTGCACTCTATTTGTCCTGAGGTCCTGCAGATGTTGACAATGCATGCAGAGAGAGTTCAGCCGCAGACAGTGACCCCCCTGCAGGAGACAGAGAGGAAGTAAAAACAGAGCCCACATCAAGAAACACTGAAAGTGACGTTGAACACATCAATGATGCTCTCACTGATGGCACACTGGTCAAAACAGACGGCAATGGAACAAATGAAGAAGTTTCATTTGCTGATGTAACAGAAACTACAGAGCACAGCAGCCTCAGAACAAAGCAGATCTTTCCCAAAAGGAAGAAATCCTTAAACTGTGACCAGTGTGGGAGGCGTTTTCATCTGAGCAGCTTGCTGAAACAGCACAAGCGAGTTCACACTGGAGAGAAGCCTTTCTGTTGTGGCCAGTGTGGAAAGAAGTTTATATACTTAACTTCTCTCAACAAGCATGTCTTGGGACACTCAGAAGGGAGGACTTTCGGTTGCACAGTTTGCGGAAAGACATTCCGTGAGGAGAGAGCATTAAATTCACACAAGTTTGTTCATTCGGAGGCAAAACCATTCAACTGTCTGACTTGTGGACAGGGTTTCACAACAAGAAACAGTCTTATTGTGCACCAGAGAATTCACACGGGTGAAAAACCATATAGCTGCACTATGTGTGGAAAGAGTTTTGCACAATCCAGTTACCTCACGACACATAAGAGAACACACTCCCAGGACAAGCCATTTAGATGTGCTCAGTGTCAAAAGGGTTTCATGACTGAGCGGGCATTGAAATCTCACCAGGTAGTGCACACAGGGCTGAAGGCATTTAAATGTGAGATATGCGGGAGCAGTTTTGGTCACGAGGTCAACCTTAAAAGACACAGTCTGATTCACACAGGGACTAAACCGTTCAGCTGTAAGGTGTGCGGAAAGCAGTTCAACCAATCCAGCACCCTCAAAGGACACATGCAGGTACACGAAGGATTGAAGCCCTTTATGTGTGACATTTGTGGAAGAACGTTTGTATACAATTACGCTCTGAGAAACCACCAGCAGACACACATGGATGACGAAAAGAAGGACAAACACAGGAAACCACAAAGTTGTGAGATATGTGGGAAGCGCTACAGCTCCATTGGGACACTTAAAATACACCAGCTTCTTCACACAGGTGAGAAGCCATTTGTTTGCTCTACATGTGGGAAAACCTTCACCCAGCGAGCTGCTTGTGTCATACATCAGAAGGTTCACACTGGAGAGAAGTCTCACATGTGCGGCGTGTGTGGGAAGAGCTTCAGTTTGCCAAACAGTCTTAGACTACATGAACGAATTCACACTGGCGAGAAACCTTACACATGTGAAACTTGTGGGATGACCTTTCGTATCAGCGGTAACCTTAAAAGGCATATGCGCGTTCATACGGGAGAGAGGCCCTTTAGCTGTGAAGTATGTGGGAAAATGTTTAGCCAAGCTAATAATGTCAAAGCTCACATGCAGGTCCACAAAGGAGAAAAGCCATACTCATGTGACAATTGTGGAAAAAGCTTTGCCTATGTAAGAAATTTCAAGGAACACAAGTGTGTCAATAGATAACCATTTGCAGCACTGTGAGGATTGTATCACAACATTTCTAGCTAGGGGAACCTACATGGTTGACATGTAATTATCAACTTTTATTAGAGAGTGGGCATTGAAAAGTAAGTATGTTAGTTTTAGGGTTGATGATGCTGTAAATCGATATCTGGGCATTTGTTGAGCAGGAAGATGACTTGGTCTTAGTATTATAATTTATTTGAAGAAAAAACGTTTTTGTTCTTTTGCATTTTTTATCAAATCGCATAAGCTTATTTTTTCTTTAAAGGACAGATTAAAATTTACTGGGGGAGGGGTGGTCCAAAATAGCGGAGGGTTGTCAATTATTTATATATTTTTGCTTTGGGGAGGGTTGTGTATTTTTTTTTATTGGGCAAAGGGGAGAGTAGTGTGTTTTTTTTCCCTGGTTAACATTTTCTCTTCTGCTCGTATTTTCCCTATAAACAGTGGCTTGACTTAGTTTTGATATTACCCTAATAAACTTAAGAAACGTTTGTGAAGGTTTGGTATAATGTGGCTATTATTACACTTTAGGCCTATAATATGAGGGCAGTGCGCCCCGGCACTCCAACTGACTTAGACAGTTCAACTTGAGGTGAGGAGGTATGTTTCAGGCCTACTTTTACCCCTTTTTCCCCCCAATTTCGTGATATCCAATTGGTAGTTACAGTCTTGTCCCATTGCTGCAACTCCCGTACGGACTTGGGAGAGGTGAAGGTCGAGAGCCATACGTCCTCCGAAATATGACCCTGCCAAGTCGCACTGCTTCTTGACAAACTGCTCGCTTTACCCGGAAGCCAGCCGCACCAATGTGTCGGAGGAAACACTGTACAACTGCGGCCAAAGTCAGCTTGCAGGCGCCCGGCCCGCCACAAGGAGTCGCTAGAGCGCGATGGGACAAGGAAATCCCGGCCTTGATGACGGCTTTTGCACACTCTTGGAATTCTCTCAACCAGCTTCACCTGGAATGCTTTTCCAATAGTCTTGAAGGAGTTCCCACATATGCTGAGCACTTGTTGGCTGCTTTTCCTTCACTCTGCGGTCCGACTCATCCCAAACCATCTCAATTGGGTTGAGGTCGGGGGATTGTGGAGGCCAGGTCATCTGATGCTTAGCTTATTTTTTTCTTTAAGCAATGGCTTTTTTCTGGCCACTCTTCCGTAAAGCCCAGCTCTGTGGAGTGTACGGCTTAAAGTGGTCCTATGGACAGATACTTCAATCTCCGCTGTGGAGCTTTGCAGCTCCTTCAGGGTTATCTTTGGTCTCTTTGTTGCCTCTCTGATTAATGACCTCTTTGCCTGGTCCGTGAGTTTTGGTGGGTGGCCCTCTCTTGGCAGGTTTGTTGTGGTGCCATATTCTTTCCATTTTATAATAATGGATTTAATTGTGCTCCGTGGGATGTTCAAAGTTTCAGATATTTTTTTATAACCCAACCCTGATCTGTACTTCTCCACAACTTTGTCTCTGACCTGTTTGGAGAGCTCCTTGGTCTTCATGGTGCGGCTTGCTTGGTGGTGCCCCTTGCTTTGTGGTGTTGCAGACTCTGGGGCCTTTCAGAACAGGTGTGTATATATATACATTTTACATTTTAAGTCATTTAGCAGACGCTCTTATCCAGTAAAAGGATTACTGTTATACTATTCCAGGTATTCCTTAAAGAGGTAGGGTTTCAAGTGTCTCCGGAAGGTGGTCAGTGACTCCGCTGTCCTGGCGTCGTGGGGGAGCTTGTTCCACCATTGTGGTGCCAGAGCAGCGAATAGCTTTGACTGGGCTGAGCGGGAACTGTGCTTCCGTAGAGGTAGGGGGGCTAGCAGGCCAGAGGTGGATGAACGTAGTGCCCTCATTTGGGTGTAGGGTCTGATCAGAGCCTGAAGGTAAGGAGGTGCCGTTCCCCACATAGCTCAGTAGGCAAGCACCATGGTTTTGTAGTAGATGCAAGCTTCAACTGGAAGCCAGTGGAGTGTGCGGAGGAGTGGGGTGACATGAGAGAACTTGGGAAGGTTGAACACCAGACGGGCTGCAGCATTCTGGATAAGTTGTAAGGGTTGAATGGCACAGGCAGGGAGCCCAGCCAACAGCGAGTTGCAGTAATCCAGACGGGAAATGACAAGTGCCTGGATTAGGACCTGTGACGCTTTCTGTGTAAGGTAGGGTCGCACTCTGCAAATGTTGTAGAGCATGAACCTGCAGGATCGGGTCACCGCTTTGATGTTAGCTGAGAACGACAGGGTGTTGTCCAGGGTCACGCCAAGGTTCTTTGCACTCTGGGAAGAAGACACAATGGAGTTGTCAACCGTGATGGCGAGATCATGGAGCGGGCAGTCCTTCCCCGGGAGGAAGAGCAGCTCCGTCTTGCCGAGGTTCAGCTTGAGGTGGTGATCCGACATCCACACTGATATGTCTGCCAGACATGCAGAGATGCGATTCGCCACCTGGTTATCAGAAGGGGGAAAGGAGAAAGTTAATTGTGTGTCATCTGTGTAGCAATGATAGGATAGACCATGTGCGGATATGACAGAGCCAAGTGACTTGGTGTATAGAGAGAATAGGAGAGGGCCTAGAACTGAGCCCTGGGGGACACCAGTGGTGAGAGCACGTGGTGCGGAGACAGATTCTCGCCACGCCACCTGGTAGGAGCGACCTGTCAGGTAGGACGCAATCCAAGAGTGAGCAGTGCCGGAGATGCCCAACTCGGAGAGGGTGGAGAGGAGGACCTGATGGTTCACAGTATCAAAGGCAGCAGATAGGTCTAGAAGGATAAGAGCAGAGGAGAGAGAGTTAGCTTTAGCAGTGCGGAGAGCCTCCGTGACACAGAGAAGAACAGTCTCAGTTCAATGACCAGTCTTGAAACCTGACTGGTCATTCTGAGAGAGATAACAGGAGAGTTGGCTAGAGACGGCATGCTCAAGAGTTTTGGAGAGAAAGAAGGGATACTGGTCTGTAGTTGTTGACATCGGAGGGATCGAGTGTAGGTTTTTTGAGGAGGGGTGCAACTCTCGCTCTCTTGAAGACGGAAGGGACATAGCCAGCGGTCAAGGATGAGTTGATGAACGAGGTGAGGTAAGGGAGAAGGTCTCCGGAAATGGTCTGGAGAAGAGCGGAGGGGATAGGGTCAAGCGGGCAGGTTGTTGGGCGGCCGGCCGTCACAAGTCGCAAGATTTCATCTGGAGAGAAAGGGGAGAAAGAAGTCAAAGCATATGGTAGGACAGTGTAAGCAGGACCAGCGGTGTCATTTGACTTAGTAAATGAGGATTGGATGTCGTCAACCTTCTTTTCAAAATGGTTGACGAAGTCATCCACAGAGAGGGAGGAGGAGGAGGAGGATACAACAGGGAGGAGAAGGTGGCAAAGAGATTCCTAGGGTTAGAGGCAGAGGCTTGAAATTTAGAGTGGTAGAAAGTGGCTTTAGCAGCAGAAACAGATGAAGAAAATGTAGAGAGGAGGGAGTGAAAAGATGACAGGTCCGCAGGGAGTCTAGTTTTCCTCCATTTCCGCTCGGCTGCCCGGAGCCCTGTTCTGTGAGCTCGCAATGAGTCGTCAAGCCACGGAGCAGGAGGGGAGGACCGAGCCGGCCGGGAGGATAGGGGACATAGAGAGTCAAAGGATGCAGAAAGGGAGGAGGAGGGTTGAGGAGGCAGAATCAGGAGATCGGAGGGAGAAGGATTTAGCAGAGGGAAGAGATGATAGGATGGAAGAGGAGAGAGAGTGCAAAGGTTGCGATGGCACATTACCATCTGAGTAATTAATTCCATGAGGGGGGAGGGTGTTCCATTTAATTTACAGTACAAGGGGAGGCTCATGTGAAAATATTTGTAATGTTGGGGAGGAGGGTGCATTATTTTTTGATGACACCTTGAGTTGGACCATCCCATCCCCCCAGTAAATTTCGATCTGTCCCTAACCATATATTAACATTCCCTACACACCTGCAAAGCAATCTCTTGTTTCTTTGGATGTGCAAGTGCATTTCACTTATGTCAAAATTAAAGGTTCCTTTGACGGGAGACTCGGTGATGACTAATTTACTTTTTGATGCATTTGTTTGTAATGATTTCTGCGGTTTTTATAATGTACGCAATATTTTTCTTTAACACAATAATCACAATCTACCAGTACATTTGCCACCAACATCACTCTTTCCCATATAGCTAATGTATAACTGAAAACAACATCGCTTTTAGTTTGAAATACTAAAAACAGTTGTCACTAGTTACCACAGCCACAAAGTAATAAACCCCGCCTATTTCTACAATTTATCTTCTTAAAATATGATCTTAAACGTAACCTTAACCACACTGATAACGTAATGCCTAACCCTAACCTTAAATTAAGACCAAAAAGCAAATGTTTGTTTGAATGAATTTTTACGATATAACCACATTGACTTTGTGTTTACGGTAACTAGTGGAAACCACTAAAAACCCATGCCTCGACCCGGAAGAACATGTGGGTGGGAATCACGACGTGACTTATCCTAGAGCGGAGCTGCTTGTTGACGAACAGACAGGGATTTTTGAAATCGTTGAAAAATAAACAAACTTTACTCAGTGTGGCGGAGGTTCTGCACGGCCGTGCTGTGAATGGGTCAGAGATGGTAGGAGATAGTGATGGAGAGGAAAGTGAAGCAAGTATGTAACATAGTGGTACAAATAAAGGAGGGAGTAAGAAAGAGAAAAAGAAAGTGGGAGAGAAAGGGAGTAGGTGAATGAAGGGGAGCGAGAGGTCTACGGAGGTAGAGAGGAGGCAGAAAATGAAGTTTGAGGAGAGCAACCTAGCTTCCAACGCTAGCGGAAGTTCGGAGGTATAAAGTACAGAGGAAGGGCAAGATAAGACATGAGAGGAACATGGAGGTGAGGAGGAGCATAAAGTGATTATGAAGTTTAGGGAGGAAGGAGGAGTTGGGGCGATGAGTCCGATAAGGTTGACGGCTGTGATAAAAGAGTTGATTGGGGAAGTTGTTAATGCTAAAGTGTTAAGAGATGGGAGATTGTTGGAGTGCTGTAAGGACATGGCGCAGAGGGAAAAAGCTATCGGAGTGAAGCAAATAGGGAAGTGTAAGGTGGAGTCGAGCAGCTGGACTGATCAAGCAGTGGAGTAAAGGGGTGATAACAGGATGGCCTGTGCAGTGTTGCCAACTCCTCAGTAAGGAAATTGGCTGTTCTAAAAGTCGCTAGAAGTCGCTAAATGACGTCATCACCTAATTTGCATAATTGGCCATGTGCATGTAATTGTGATGGACGCTGTAGGAGAGAGGAATAATGTCGTGGGAGAGACAAAAAGTGGGTAAAAA